AAAATGACAATAATGTTCGTTTGTCATTTGTGGGTATGAAGAATCAACTAGCAATCAATAAGAGTTTAGTCAGAAATAATAGGACAGTGCTTCTTTCTTGTCCTCTAATGTCTCAATTATACAAGACCTGCAGTATTTTCAGGGGCTAAACTAAATAGCTAACAGCTGATATTGATCGTTTAATCACTTTTTTAATCTTTCATAGAATCCCTTTATTCATCGAAATACTTAAGGTGACAACAGACACTTTCCGTGGTAATCACATAAATGTCATTTAAACCAACTTATTTTAGTAATAATTGTTATTTATTTAATCTTTGTGCATTAAATGTCGTTGATCATCATAAAAAATAACATATTTGAAAAAAATGCCTTTGTAAATGATTGATTTTTAATAAAAATCCTAAAATTTTAAATCGTCATATCAAAGTCATTTTTATATGCCCGAAAGAATTTCAGGCATATTATGTTATACCCCCTGGCGTCCGTCCGTCCGTCCGTTAGCAATTTGGTTTCCGGAGCATAACTTAAGTTCCATTTGTCCCACAGTATTCAAACTTCATAGGATGATTGTCCATATTGGGTAGAAGACCCCTATTGATTTTGGGGTCACAAGGTCAAAGGTCAAGGTCACTATGACCTTAAAACTGAAAACAGTTTCCGGAGCATAACTTAAGTTCCATTTGTCCCACAGTGTTCAAACTTCATAGGATGATTGTCCATATTGGGTAGAAGACTCCTATTGATTTTAGGCTCACAAGGTCAAAGGTCAAGGTCACTATGACCTTAAAACTGAAAACAGTTTCCGGAGCATAACTTAAGTTCCATTTGGCCCACAGTGTTCAAACTTCATAGGATGATTGTCCATATTGGGTAGAAGACCCCTATTGATTTTGTGGTCACAAGGTCAAAGGTCAAGGTCACTATGACCTTAAAACTGAAAACAGTTTCCGGAGCATAACTTAAGTTTCATTTCGCCCACTGTGTTTAAACTTCATAGTATGATTGTCCATATTGGGTAGAAGACCCCTATTGATTTTGGGGTCACAAGGTCAAAGGTCAAGGTCACTATTACCTTAGAAATGAAAACAGTTTCTGGGGCATAACTTAAGTTCCATTTGGACCACAATGTTGAAACTTCAAAGGATGATTGTCTTGTGAAGGAGGTAATGATACTTTATTCCCATGTCTTACAAATTCTTCATCTTTACTAAAAAAAAAAAAAATCACTTTCGGGCATATAATGCTCCGCCTAGCGGTGCTCTTGTTTATTTTTTTGTCATCAAACTTTTGGAAAATAAACATACTTATAATATCTGGGGAACCGTGTCTCAAATTTTTTCTATCTTTTCTCAAAAAAATATTACGTAACGTCAAACATTACGTAATTAAAGATAATTAAGTCGCTGATTGAGCAAACAAAAATCCCTGACACGGTTCCCTCCGTAAATGAATTCCCTTTCATGTGCTTTAAACCGCATGTTAATTGCTTGATTATTAAAAAAGTTATGCCGATTCAAAGTTAGTCCGACCCGCATCAAACGAAGTGTCATAAATCGGCTGTTCTCTCTCGGACCCCTACGTTTCACGCTAAATAATTGCATAATACACAAATATCGCACCAGAGAGGGTCACAAGTTGCGGTAACATACTCTAACAACATTTTATGACCCAGTGACATCTGACCAATTAAAAAGTTGCTGATTAATATCAGTTTATAACAGAAATTTCTTCAAATCTTAACGTGATTTACCGTCAGTCTGGTATCGGTCGCACATGTCACGTGACTTTCGGTAAAATTTGAGGCACTCGGTGGGGGGAAATGGGACGTATTTGTGCACCGCTAGCGGGGTATTTAATTGTTTCACATTTGAAGTTTATTATTATTATCATCAGCATTATTATTATATTATACCAGTGTCACTCTATCTGTGTACTCGTGTATGAAATTCCGTTAAAATATAAATTAAAATAACAAAAAAACTGAGCTTCTGACAGTCTTTTAAAGTCCATGGTAGATGTATACAAATAAGAACGGGATATTATATATTTTTTCCTCCAAATTGATATAAATGCTTCACATATTTTAATAGAAATAAAAGGTATCACTCCATCATTATGATCTGACCTTCTTGACTTCTATTATCATGAAAATCATCTGTGCACGGCATAGAGATCCAGTTTCTACTGGGATATACAATAAATTCCAAACTTTCTCCCAGGTTTATTAGTACTGTGTTCGATTTACTAGCGAACAATTTATTCAAAGCATTCACTGATAATTTATTTTATTATCTTTTTTTTATTGATTCATAGAGAAATAATCATCCTTAGACAACCTAAAATGGTTTAGAAATTTGTCAGGGAGACCTTACCACGTACAAGTCATATAGGCGTTCACATAAAAAATGTTGTCTGTTTTTGTTGTTGTTTTACTTGACATTGTTAGAAAACGAGGTTGAATGTAAAGCAAGCCCTTGAATCCGTAAAAAAGTCCATAAACTCAATGTAATATCTATCAGATTAACGGGACAGACAAATTATTTTCACACATTATGGATATTTTAGCAACTATATTTTTAATCAACCCCGTGGTCGTGCGATTTGTCGCTGTGCTTAATTATTTATGTTTCATACATTATGTTACGTACATTGGCCGACAATTTCTTATTTTATAAAAAAAGGCTAAATAATAGGTAGACGATATTCATAAAAGATGTACGGTATTTGTACGATACATGAATTACGAGTAGTATGGACCAGTATGGACCGGTAATTCACGCATATATTGAACTACCGATTTCCCTCATTGATGCCTCAACAGGGGACGGAGCGTTATCGATAATTGACAGGTTACGCGATAGCAGATAAAAATAGTACAGGTACCGTTTTAAAACGTTTAAAAACACATTTTTTGGACTAACTGCTTCCAAAATTAAATCACGAATGTGTTCAGAAAAGGTTGATAAATATACTAAGCAAAAAATCTCATTTTAGGTATTTTCAGTGATAATTGACTCCGTTGTCACCTTAATGTATAAACGTGTAAGATAAAATAAAATTAAAATTATTCTGAAATATTTAAGAATGGGCCCCATTTGGTAGAGACTTTACGAACGTGACAAGCCCAACAAATTGAAGGCTTTTATGCCGGTTTTCCCTGTAAAGGCATACATCTGTGTAATATCAATTTGTAAAATCGGTCGGTTTAATCGAGACTAGGCCAGAGTGGAAATGTCTTGGGTACGAAATGGCTCGGAATCCCTCAAATTACTTCGAAATTTATATTAACGAAAGTTTTAGTCCTCAGGAACGAATTGACATCAATAAATAAACTTACTATTATTATTCATCAAATTCATAACATATATTACTTTAAAACTTACCTTATGGGCTAAACAGGCTGATATGCTTGTCAAGTAGGTCATAAAGTAAACCGGAAGTTGTCGGATTCATCAAATTATAGGCTATTTCAGAGATATAGATTATCGACATCTCTGGCTATTTCTATTTCAATATTCACTTTGCAATTAGAAACTACAAAATTTTTTCGATAAAAATTGTCTTTTTCAAATATTTCTGGAATATCATACAAAAAAAATGTGATGATAAGGTACGACTGAGTAAGTTGAATATTGCGAGCTCTCAGTCGCTTATCTCCATTCATAGAATTACTATCTCCATTCATAGAATTACTCGAACTTTCAAATTATATCCGCTACACTTCTAATACCATAATTCATGCTATTTTGCACATGATTTTCAAAAAATAAGGTATGGTTGGAAATTTGGGGTTTGTAAGTACACTAGTTGGGACTACGTCCCAACTAAAAACTAATGTTTAGAATTCAATGCAACTTCATACAATGGTCAAGCGCAATGTGAGGAAGTGCAGTGCTCTAGAAGCATAACTCCTTCTGGATTTTTATTACGGAGTAATTCAATAAAACTTCATCAATGGTCAACCTCATTGAAAGGAAATGCAACATGCAAGAACCACAACTATCTTTAATTGCCCACAACCATAACTCTATTTCAATTCTTTTGCAAGGTAACTTCCTCAGTTCCAAAGCAGTCTTGCGGGGGTATTAATCACATTTAGTGATAGTTCTAGTTAATTATACTTTTGCTGTACTGTAGGGAGAAAAAAATACACCAGTAATCTTTTTTGTTCACAATTTTTGACGAAAATTTACAATGATCACAAGTGCCGAATTTTGGCACCAAAAAAAACCAAACGACAAACACTGGATAACTCGTAGCTACTGCTGGCAATGCGATCAGCACATATTTGAAGTACACACTGTTTGTGTAATAATATATATGATAATTACATTTCTTTTTTGAATTTTCACAAGTACATTTAAATGCATGATGTAAAATTATTCAAGAATGTTTCTTTAGCCAAAACATATTTTCATTATATATCGCAAATGAGTTGATAGCAGTCACTGTACAAAGAAAAACTGGCGTACATGATTCAAGAGCGTAGATTTACCGGCGGGATTTTTCTTTTCTTTCTTGAACCTTGCAGTTGTGCCAGTCTTTATTAACACTTTTCTTGAATATTTGTGATTCAATGATATTAATTCAGAAAATTTCAAAAATTTACACGGTAATTTTTCAGGGATCCCAACGGAATCCCCAGCTAAGATTCACAGAGATTCCTCCTGACTTTTTGGGATCCTTGGAATCCTGGGATCCCATTAATGTCGAACCCTGATGGTTACAAAAGTTAAATAGGGCGTATTTCATACTAATATTAAGCATGAAACATCTTCTAGTGAGTGTCTACCAAGGTTGTGTAAATAAGACTTTTTTTAAGCCCTGTGGTCAAACTTGGCCCTGTCCTGGGGGGGGGGGGGCTATATACAGGTGAGCGATTTCAGGGCCATGATGGCCCTCTTGTTTTTCAATTACGATGAACTTTTAGATCGGAATTGGATTTTTGATATGTTAGGAATATTAACCATATAAGATTATAACATTCGATATTTCAGTTTCTTGCAAGTACACCAAAACCTGGTCGACCTCAGTTGTCAAGGAGGCGACCTATGTCACCAGTTTCTGAAACATTGGTGAGACCACAGAGCACACAAAATGCGACAACCTCACAGGAAAATGTAGAGAGTAATTTCACTGATAATCATTTATTCAAACAGCAAAGAGTAAATCATATGGAGGACATAACTGGTTATTTAAGTAGAAAACAAATGGGATGTGGATCTCAGTGGAAAAGGTCTACATTGAAACAGTCACCTTTGAAAGGTTCACCACTGAAACGGACAAGTTCACCAGTGAAACAGACAATTTCTCCACAGAAGTGTGTACCAGGTAGCAGCATCGATGATAAAATTGCTTCCATAAGTAAATCTAGAATAGAGCAAAAGCGGAACAATGCAGAAATAATCAATAGCAATAACAGTTCCTCTAATAAGACTGAAAAAGTTGTTCTAAGTATGTCTAAAGTACGGTATAAAAGTGTTTCTGAACAGGGCAATCAATCTGAAAGGACTGAATGCGGAGGAAAGACGCAGAAAGTATCAGTACCAGTCCTAAATGAAAATGTTTCTAAGAGCAGATTTAACCAGCAAGAGTCTAATAGCAATACTAGAGATGTGTCAGTCTTGCCTGAAACACAAATTTCAGTGAGAAATATGAGTTCTGTGTTAACAGGTAACACTAAATCTAAAACTAATAAATTCATTAATAGTAGGAGAAATGATACAACAGCAGTCAGTGAAGCTAGTTATTTATCAGAAAGACAAGAATCTGGAAGAATTTTAAGTAGATCAAGACTTAGCAATAATGGAACATCAAATACAAGGGATATAAATTTACAAGATGAAGATTTGAGTACAAGTATGTCCAGTAAAGACAGAAAGTCTGCTGTAAACAGGAGGTTAGTGTCTCTCAGCAGAAATAAAGGAATAGCTACGGAAGACATGTCTGCTATAGGTAATAAAGTTTACCAGATTATATGAATATTTTAATCAAAAATGAAAATTTATAAGCTCGAGTATATGGAGAGCTGCCCAACTCACCCTGGTGTCCAGATTTAAGATTGAAAGTTTTGATACAGTAAGATATTTTTACCTCAAATTGGCCATGCTCCTTGGGGGGGGGGGGGGGGGGGGGGGGGGGGGGAAAGCGGTCATAGGGGGAAAAATGCAATAGCAGGGGGAATTATATTTCTTCACAAATGAGGAAAAACAAAAGAATCTAGTGCATATTTTAATATGCCACTTACCACTGTTAGATTTACTGTTGTGCAACATTGTTTTCTTTCCAGTAGAAAAGGGGAGCAACTCTTGCAACACAAGTTTAAGATACGTCGCTTTTTCTTAATATAAGGATCTAAAATATTGACAGTATAATTTAAAGCGTTGCATGTTAAACTTGTTGGAATGTGGGGAGTAGCTCCCCTTATCTACCCGGGAACTACAGTAGAACTTCGGTAAGTTGAAGTTGAAGTGACTTACGTAAAAACTTCAACACATCGGGACTTTGACCCATGGATCGTTCTCAATTTCATGACAAAATTTCCAACTCTTGTAGTATACAAGGAAGTTACAAAAGGCGTAAAAATAGTTTTTCGCGGCCAGATAAGAAGTGAAAAATATCTCAAGACCGAAGGTGTTAAAATAATCGGAGGACTTCCGACTTATTTGTGGTAAATTGTACTTGATTTATTCTATACGGACCACGAAAAAACTTCCATACATCAAAAAATTTGACACATAAAATTTCGACTCATAAGTATGTTTTTTTAAGGAATATATAGGGCAAAAAATTTGGACTTTCATTTTACTTCGACACATCGAGAAAATCGACTAATTGAAGTTCTACTCATAGAAGTTCTACTGTATTTGTAAACAACCTTGCTTAACAGTAAGTCTTACAGACATAAAATAAAACATTTTTCGGCAAGTAAGTTAAAAAAAAATAATATTCATTGCAGGCAAATTCAGGCTGCCATATTGGAAGGGGGGGGGGTAATTTGGCATTGAGGGGGGGAACTGACTCAACATTCGCATATATAGTTTGTATATATTGAGTGGCTTGTGTCCGTCTGTCTGGTTGTCTCTTCGCTATTCTTGTAAAGGGCACAACTTTGAAACAATAAGAGGGATCAACATGAAACTTTGTAGGTAGATAGATCTCATTGGGTAAATGTCCAGGGCTCAAGAACAGTAACTCTGCCTTGCCTAATTTTTGAATTATTGCCCTTTGTTTATTTTTACACTTTAAACTTTGTCAGGGACATAACTCTAAAACTATAAGAGATATCAACATGAAACTTTGTAGGTTGATAGATCTCATTGTGTAAAAGTGCAGTGCTAAAGAACCATAACTCTGTCTTACCTTATTTTGGAGTTATTGCCCTTGGTTAATTATTAGCTCGACTATACAAAGTATATGGAGAGCTGTCCTACTCGCCCTCCGTTGGCCTCTGCGTCCAGATTTCAGATAGTTTTGGTGCAGTAAAATATTTTTTACTGTAACTTAAGGTATCAAATATATGTTCCTCATCATCAGCCACATCTTATGTGACAAGGTTCATAACTCTAGCACCAATATTTTCAGATTTATCTCCCCTTGAACATAGAATTTTCCTGTAAAAATATTTTTTTTACTGTTACTTCTTTATTTCTTAAACAATCAAGTTTATATTTCAAATATATGTTCCTTATCACCAAGCACATCTTATGTGACAAGGTTCATAACTCTAGCACCAATATTTTCAAATTGATCTCCCCTTGAACTAAGAATTTTCCTTAAAAATATTTTTTTTACTGTTACTTCTTTATTATGCCCCCCCTTCGAAGAAGAGGGGGTATATTGTTTTGATAATGTCGGTCTGTCTGTCCGTCGGTCTGTCGGTCTGTCCGTCGGTAGACCACATGGTTTCCGCTGATTATCTTTAAAAGTATTTATCACAAAGTCTTGATATTTCACATAGTGATTGGTCATCACTAGAAGATGACCCCTATTGATTTTGGGGTCACTAGGTCAAAGGTCAAGGTCACAGGGGCCTTAAATGTCAAAATGGTTTCCGCTGATTATCTTGAAAAGTATGTATCACAAAGTCTTCATATTTCACAAAGTGATTGGTCATAACTAGTAGATGACCCCTATTGATTTTGGGGTCACTAGGTCAAAGGTCAAGGTCACAGGGACCTTAAAATGTCAAAATGGTTTCCACTGATTATCTTGAAAAGTATTTATCACAAAGTCTTCATATTTCACATAGTAATTGGTCATAACAAGTAGATGACCCCTATTGATTTTGGGGTCACTAGGTGAAAGGTCAAGGTCACAGGGACCTTAAATGTCAAAATGTTTTCCGCTGATTATCTTGAAAAGTATGTATCACAAAGTCTTCATATTTCACACAGTGATTGGTCATAACTAGTAGATGAACCCTATTGATTTTGGGGTCACTAGGTCAAAGGTCAAGGTCACAGGGGCTTTAAATGTCAAAATGGTTTCCGCTGATTATCTTGAAAAGTATGTATCACAAAGTCTTCATATTTCACATAGTGATGGTCATCACTAGTAGATGACCCTTATTGATTTTGGGGTCACTAGGTCAAAGGTCAAGGTCACAGGGACCATAAATGTCAAAATGGTTTCCGCTGATTATCTTGAAAAGTATGTATCACAAAGTCTTCATATTTCACACAGTGATTGGTCATAACTATTAGATGACCCCTATTGATTTTGGGGTCACTAGGTCAAAGGTCAAGGTCACAGGGGCTTTAAATGTCAAAATGGTTTCCGCTGATTATCTTGAAAAGTATGTATCACAAAGTCTTCATATTTCACATAGTGATTGGTCATCACTAGTAGATGACCCCTATTGATTTTGGGGTCACTAGATCAAAGGTCAAGGTCACAGGGGCTTTAAATGTCAAAATGGTTTCCGCTGATTATCTTGAAAAGTATGTATCACAAAGTCTTCATATTTCACATAGTGATTGGTCATCACTAGTAGATGACCCCTATTGATTTTGGGGTCACTAGGTCAAAGGTCATGAACACAGGGACCTTAAATGTCAAAATGGTTTCCGCTGATTATCTTGAAAAGTATGTATCACAAAGTCTTCATATTTCACATAGTGATTGGTCATCACTAGTAGATGACCCCTATTGATTTTGGGGTCACTAGGTCAAAGGTCATGAACACAGGGACCTTAAATGTCAAAATGGTTTCCGCTGATTATCTTGAAAAGTATGTATCACAAAGTCTTCATATTTCACACAGTGATTGGTCATAACTATTAGATGACCCCTATTGATTTTGGGGTCACTAGGTCAAAGGTCAAGGTCACAGGGGCTTTAAATGTCAAAATGGTTTCCGCTGATTATCTTGAAAAGTATGTATCACAAAGTCTTCATATTTCACATAGTGATTGTTCATCACTAGTAGATGACCCCTATTGAATTTGGGGTCACTAGGTCAAAGGTCAAGGTCACAGGGGCCTTAAATGTCAAAATGGTTTCCGCTGATTATCTTGAAAAGTATGTATCACAAAGTCTTCATATTTCACATAGTGATTGTTCATCACTAGTAGATGACCCCTATTAATTTTTGGGTCACTAGGTCAAAGGTCAAGGTCACAGGGACCTTAAAATGTCAAAATGGTATCCGCTGATTACTGCGAATTCACTTATATTCGTGGGCATGAAAGTTCGTGGTTTTATCAAAACGGGCATTTTCGTGGGTTCTTAAATTCGTGGATTTTCGTTTTCTTGTTAAAAAAAATCAGTTACCTAATGCAAAGTAATCTTAATCGCCGAACATTTTTACTTACAACATGTACATATCTTGACTTGTCACACAGCGGTTGTCAATAAATTTAATCCTTGCCTCTGGGCATAACTCTAATATAGCACAGTTTACTGCCGATAATTGACTGCAATTAACACATTTATGTGACATGATATGCACCTCCATTGGACACACTGTCCCTGTTATTCGCCGATGTAAACATCGCATAATTTATACGACACCTGGCACGTATTAACAAGCGAGTTTAAAAAATTACACTTAACATATTTGACAGTAACTACACGCAACGTCACAGCGACTGTGTAAATTTACATGCATATAAATTATTCTCGGTAAATAACACGAGTATATGTGGAGCTTGTAAAAGTCGGTGGCGTCTTTGATGTTTACGGAATATCATTCACACAAATACTGATTAAAATTCATATAAACTGGATCATTTAAAAACTACCAAAGAAAGTACAATAAATCTGTTTTAGCGATCCTATTTTTTTTATAGTTTTGTGTACTTACGACATTAATATCAAAGACTTTTTTTTAAATTAATAAGAGCAAACTGACAATTTTTATAAGCGCTAATTATTGCACTGCCTGGGTTCCCATATTTACTCGATTATGTCAAGTATTCTTGTTAACACAATCAAGTCCCAGTAGACTACAACGATCAAGTATGTATATGCGACATTTGTGACAGTAAATTGAGGACATATAATCGTGTTTACTTTCAAATTTCTTAAGTATTGCAAACATATTTAATATGTCACTAACCTGGTTATCTGTCTGTACTTACATCTATTTCACAAAATATCGGCCGGAAAAGAGCCGACGCATGTTTGTAATATATAGAACAGAGACAGGGTAAGAAGTATTTGTTGCGATAAAAGTTCGTCGGATCCTAAATTCGTGGATTGACCTACCCACGAAAACCACGAAAATTCGTGCCCCACGAATAATAATGATTTTACAGTATCTTGAAAAGTATTCTTCACAAAGTCTTCATATTTCACAAAGTGATTGGTCATAACTAGTAGATGACCCCTATTGATTTTGGGGTCACTAGGTCAAAGGTCAAGGTCACAGGGGCCTTAAATGTCAAAAGGGTTTCCACTGATTATCTTGAAAAGTATTCATCACAAAGTCTTCATATTTCACCTAGTTATTG